CCACTTAAAGAACTGAGCTACGGGGCATGCCCCCTTGGGTATTGAATTTTGTCAAAAGCCTTTTCTTCATGTATTGATCTTATTGTTTCTCACTTTGCATCTGTTCATGTCATGTATTACATTTATGTGGGGAACCACTGAACCTGGAAATCGGTCCAATATGTGAGAGCAAGACTGGGCCTCAGTGCCTAAAGCAGTCAAGCTATCTCATTCGTCAGGAAAGCATTCTGCCTGGTAATTGTCGGCTATCAGTCACTAGGCAATCTTGTGTTTCATGATACTAACTTTGCAAAGGTATGATTAAATGCCTCTACTGTTGTTCTGGGGGTCCTTTGCTAATCAGGCAGTGGGCCACCACCTGACCCAGTTTTTCTTCTCTTTTTCCCTCATTCCTGCTGCCATTTCTGGGGTACCCAAGAGACCAATGGATCACACCGAGACACCGATGAAAGGGATATTACTGAGATGTGTATGTTATTTACTATCATTGCCACCATGTTAGTACATCCTTTGTTTTTTCTTTTCTTGATTTTTTTTTATTGTTCTTTATCCACTGTCCTCACTAGCTTCCTCTGTTCTAGCTGTGTCCACTTCATTGTTTTTGTCAAGAATATCATTTAGTATTTTCACTAGACCTGGTTGAGCACTCATATTCCTTTTTTTTTTTTTTTTTGTACCAGGGATTGAATTCAGGACCTTGTACTTGCCAGGCAGGTGCTTAAGCCACTGAACTATCTTCCTAGTCCATGCATTTACCTTCTGCGCTGGTCCTTTTATGGAAATCCTTCACTCCTCCATTTCTTAAAAAAATTTGTGTTTTTGAGACAGTGTCTCACTGTGCAGTTCAGGATGGCCTTGAACTCACTTGGTAGCCCAGGCAGGTTTCAGACTTGTAGTAATCCTCCTGCTTCAGCCTCCCTGCTGTTGGGATGATAGGTGTGTCCACCACACTGGGGTTTCTCTATTTTTGAAGGACAGCTTTGCTAGATAAATTAATATGGGTTGGAGTTATTTGCTGTTAGGGATCAAAATATTCCATTACAAGCTCTTTTAGCTTTATGGAATGTAGTATCGCTTACTTGATTTTAACACTCTTTCTTTCTTTTTTCTTTCCTTTTTGAAACTGAATCTCACTATGCAGTTCAGGCTGAAACTCACATTGTCTAGGCTGGTCTCAAATTTGCATTAATCCTCCTACATGAGCCTCCTAGTGCTATGATTACAGGCATGTGCCATAGCACCTGGCTTAAACCCTTTTCTTCTATTTGGGAAATTTCCTTCCATGATTTCTATAAGCAGGTTAGTGAATCCATCTGTCTCAGTTACTTTTCTCTCCTTACTGGGACAAAATACCCAATACCCAAAATGAAGGAAGGAAAGGTTTGTTCAGCTCACAGTTTGTGGCGATTTCAGTCCAGATTTGGCTGGCTCCACACTAGAGCAGCATATGGCAGAGGGCAACCGTTCATGGTGGTGGAAAACAGCAAAGGGCAAAAAGAGGAGCAGCCTCTGTGGCAACTAGCAAGCCTCTCTCTCCTCCCCATATTGTATTCAGGCTATCCGCCCCAGGGTGGGTATAGCATGCACACTCATAATCCCAGCATTGGGTCATGAATTAATCACAAACTCTAGAGGCTGCCCAATGACAGTATGAGGCTTTAGGGGGGACACCTAGACACAAACCATAACAGCATCTGTGCTATCTTACAGCGGTGTCCCTGCCAGCTCTTGCTCCAGGCTTGCAGCTGGTGGTAGTTACACCGAGATCCCTCATCAACTGCTGACTGTAGAAGGCTACCGTGGAAGATGTGTGCCACATTTCCCTTGCTGGTTTTGATACAGGGGACTGAACCCTGCAACCTGAAAGCTACTGGGCTGAGTTTGTGCTCTCTAAAACCGAAGAATGAATTTTCGGAACAACAGAGGTTAGGAGCAGAATATATTTATTGGGGGAAAGAAAGAGAAGGGGGACCTGAGTGGTTTGCACCCAAATCTGTCTTTTCTAGGGATTTTTATAAAGCAAAACCATGTGGTAAGGTGGGCCTAAGGTGGAGAACGTGGGAGCTGGGTTTGGTGGGCATGAGATGGGACAAAACTATGGTGAGCCAACAATAAGTTTACAAGTGCAGTTGCTCAGGTAAAATTAATTAAATCCAGGACCAATTGGGAAAGTGAATCAGGAGCAAGCAAGCATGAATGTAGAATGGGCTTTTTATGGAAGGGGTTGGGTCAGTGACTCTCTGGCTTCCAGGTGATTGATACCTATTTAGAATATCAATCCCTGATGCCCATTCCTAGGGAGGTATGCTGTTGCATTTGTTTACCCCATTGTCCTGAGGTCTGGACCATAGCAAAGGTGTCTATCTCTCCCAAAGTTACAAAGTCATCTTGTCTTCTATACTGTCTCCTTGAGGACCTAACCCTATCTGATTGCCTTTAATATTTCTATCTAGGGGCTGGTGAGATGGCTCAGTGGTCTAAAGCACCTACTTAGAACAAGCTTAGTAAGCACAGGGACCACGGTTCAATCCCCCAGCACCACATGCCAGCCAGCCCCGCCCCCTGGTGGGCTGAGCTGGCCACACACACACACACACAC